TGTGTGTGTGTGTGTGTGTGTGTGTGTGTGTGTGTGTGTGTGTGTGTGTGTGTGTGTGTGTGTGTGTGTGTGTGTGTGTTCAGCGCAGTAACATGGGTTCGAGTATGTTTGCGAGAGAAGAACGCAGGCGATTGACAGACTAAGTCCGTGACGGGAAGTCGGAGAAGTGAAATGAACTATCAGGAGGGAAGTTGATGGCACTGTATGTTAGACATGTTTGGGCGGTGTCGTTAGTTCTATGGACAGATGGAGTGTGAGTGACGGATCGAGAGACGGAGACAGATCGATATATAAAAAGAAGGGAGAGAGAGAGAGAGAGAGAGAGAGAGAGAGAGAGAGAGAGAGAGAATTGGTTGTTTAGTTGCAGCAGATTTGAGGGAAGCTGTGGCCTGTTTCGATTTGTACAGTTTTTGAATTGTATTGGAATTGTTATCCCCTGGTGTCCTTTTTTATTTGTCGGTCTTGAAAGTTTAGTCGGAATTGTCAGCACCTGATCTCTGTGTTTTTTTTTTTTTTCTTTTTTTTTTGGGGGGGGGGCCGGGAGAGGGGAATACCTGATCTCTTTAGGGCTCTTGAGGGCGTTGTGGGGAATGTGGTAAAAAATAGTGATGGTTGGCGACTTTCTCAGTGCTGTTCATATTCTCGCGGACTTTAAAAAAATATCGATTTTCTCAGTGGCGTTCAAATTCACGCGGTCAGAATGGTGATGGTTGTCTCTTCACCGCGAACGCACGTCTCGTGGTTGTCAATACTTCGCGCTTGCATCCTCGCATCGCGTTAATATTGTGGTACTCTTCGGCATATTTCAACGTCCTTTGGGCCTTGCTCAACTTTTTTTTTTTTTTTTTCGGGCCTTGCTCAACTTACGATGGGCCTATTCCATAGTCTATTGGGCTCAAATCGCAACGAAGTAGCTATTGGGTGGGCCAGCACGAACCCGCATGGCCCTTACGGGCTGGGCTGACTCAACTTCTTAATGGATACTCTGTGTGCGCTCACGAACGTGTGTGTGTGTGTGTGTGTGTGTGTGTGTGTGTGTGT